AAATATGAATAGAAATATACAATTTAATAAAATATCAAGATGGTCAAATACTAATTCATCAGTTACATTTTAAAACTTCATTTAATAATCTGTACACAAGTGCACATTAGAGAAAAGTCTTCAAACTATGAATATAAAGCAAGTCCTCAAATCTGATGGACATGTATGTCAACAGTGAGGTCTACAGGGTAATCAATGAGATCATTTCCCACACAGTATAGGTCAGTTGTCCAGTCTTTTAAACACGTCTGTATTATTCCCACTCAGTGACATGGAGAACTCAGATTTAGGAGAAATGGAAGAGCAATGGCTAGCCTCACTAGGACATTCCATTGGGAGAGAAATCTTAAAGAAATAGAATGGGCTTTTAGGTTGTTTTTGATAACCACTGCTTTCTGAGATGCAGTAAGAACATTCAGGAAATACATGAAGCTGCCAAGCCACTTCTAGGACACAGCAAGTGAGTGCAGAGCTCACGTGTCACACAGGGATTCAGCAAAGGTGAAGCTCACAGAACTCCAGGCACAAGCCACCCAGAAAGCTGAAATGTCTGCCAGATCAGATTGCTCTCCAGCAGCAAACCCACTGGCCGCATGCGAATACTTAGGAAAGCCTCTATAACCTGTCTGGGCAGAAGCAAAGAGGGAGAAGTTACTCTTGGAAGGGGGTCAAAGGGTGTTGAAGGAAACAGCCAATAGGGGCTAGTTAAAACTGGGGGATCAAGTTAAAACTGGAAAGTTTTGCAGACATGTGGTATGTGGCCAGAAAGAAGTCATGTTAGACAAGTAAGGCCACTCTTGACGGTGGCACTGCTCACTGCCAATCCCTCTTCCCAGTAGGCAAGAGAGTTCTAGTTTGGCCTTGGAACTGCATTAGTTCTGGAGCCTGGCTTTGCATAGTCCTCTCTTGGACTCTCCTTGACTCTGAATGATATGAGTCCCCAAAAAGCTTCAAGGATACCTATAAATATTAATTTCTAATTTTAATTCTACTGAAAGAGGTTTCAGTGTACTTTCAAAGCTATTTACGGTTCTTCAGTTAAAGGGATCCCTCCATCTGATATGCAGTGATTTATAACCTAACTGGGTCTTCTATGAGGAGTCTAAGAATCCAAGATAATTCTGAGTTATTTTAGTTATGGGAGGTAGGGAGAGGGGGACCACTAATTCAGTGCAGGAAAAACTTTCCATTAGTCAGACCCAGGAGCATCCTGTATCCCAGATGTCCCCAGTCCATTTAACCCTGTTGCTATGTGGTGTCCCTCAACATCTGGGTGTGTCCTCACCAATTCACAAATTTTCCATGAGTAACTTCAGCAAGAGTTAAATACAGGGGATTTTAGCAAGCACCACAGTGGAAGCAATTCTAGCTATGATGGAGCAGCCAAACAAAGAGGCAACTTATGAAATAGTTTTAAAAGCACTGCAATTTCCACTGATGTGCAAGTGGCTTACTCACCAAACTGGCTCTGCCAGAGCCACAGTGGGTGGCCCATCATTCATTCTGATACATGAGAAAGACAAACCTAGCTTGGTTTAGATGGACGTGGCCTCCCCCATACCTGGTCTTGCTTGTTCAGACAGGAAGAGCTGTCCTGAAAATTCACTATTTTCAACTTGGGGCAGTTCATATATTTAGTATCATCTCTTAGCACAATGCTGTAAATGGAAGCTTTGTCCTCCTACCCAGATCTTAAGCCTATTCCTCCAGGGACAGCAAACCGCCTTAACTTCCTTTCTCTAATGTAAGCTGCATGCTTCTACTCCCATGGTGCCTGATGGGGGAAGAGCTATTAGTACAGCCGAGACATTGACATCTCCAGGCCAATGCCACACTTTTAGGACAGAAACACTGAAAGGGGGAGCCATTGTCTTTCAATTCTTGTATTAGGAGACTTTAACGTGTTCTTCAAGAGGAAGTTCACATTCATTTGTCTAAGAAGGCATCTGCTCTCACTGGCTTTCAATATTGCATCTCTCTAGTCTCTAAACTGGGATGGACAAAAACCACGACCCTTGATTATCGAAGTAACCAAGGAGATGTAAAATATTCTTTAACCATGGACCCTGAGCCTTTTCTTTTCTTTCCTTTTTAGCAGCAGATAAATTCTGGTTTTGTGATTGCTTTATGGCATGGGCCCTGCTGACTCTCAGCAGGGCTGAGGGAAGAAGGCACTCTGCACAGTTTCTAGTCTATTCCCTAACCAAAGGCAACAGTGAGTTCTCTTAACTACAAACAACTGAACTCCAGAAGCAAGTGATTGTCGCTAAATCAAACAGTGAGTAAATCACAAGAAAAGACAAAAACAAACAAATTCCACAGTATTACAGAGAAACACTCCAAAAAATATTAACAGTTGAGCCGGGTATGGTGGCGCACACCTTTAGTCCCAGCACTCGGGAGGCAGCTGGGGCTACAGAGAGACCCTGTCTCCAGAAGACCAAAAAAAAAAGTTAACAATTTTGCTTTTAAAGCCACCATTACTTGGGGTTGCTGTTCCAAAGGCAAAAGAAACAGCAATGTTGTTTGGTTTTGATATATGGAAGGAAACACGATTATAATGTGTCTGACCAGGCAACGCAAACAACATCCAGCTCTGTAATCCTCATGTTCTAAGTAACATAACAAGGAGCGACTTACAGTAATCTTCTAAGAAGCAGCTTCCCCTGAGCCTTCAAGGCTCTCATTAATCTTCTCTAGCAAGTTTTAGGTCACTGACATGCCATTTGACATTACAGCACACAGCAGTGTTCAATGCAGTTTTCGCAGATTGTTAATAAAGCACTCTTTGGTGAAACACAAGCAGCTTGGGTACTTCACAGAGTGAATGTTAATCACAACAACATATTACAAAGAGTAAAGTGAAGATGATTAAACCAAACCATATCTGAGGACAGAAAATACCACGGGGGTGATCTTCCAACTTTATAAATTGTAACATGGGGGGTCACAGGCTGAACAGGAAATAAATACATAACAGACCTCCATCAGATCCTTGACTCTTCTGAAGGCCAGCAGCGAATACGATTGCTACCATGAGGACGCGAACGTACCACACGCCAGGCAGCTCTCTGGATGGCAGAGGGCCTGGTATTTACACCTGAGACTAAATTTACAACAGCAACCTTGTTGTCCAATTTGAGACGATTCTACAAAAAGGAGAGTCAGGCCCCTCAATTGGTTCAATGGCACCCCGGACTCAGTGGCTGAGACTCCAGTGACATTTTCTTCATTGAATAAACTTCTTAGGTGGAAAGTCAACTAAGGCCTTTGCAATGTTTGTTTTGTTCTCAAACCGACTGTGCTAAGTCCTGTTGGAGTTTTCTGTTCCTAGTCTTCCTTCAGTTCTGGTCACGGTTTTTTTACTTAACGCAAGACTGTCTTAGTCCTTGAAATGGATGGACTGAGGAGAAAAAAAAAACATTTTTACCATGAAGGTTTTAATGTGTCCCAGAGGTAGTTATCAAAGACAAGGAAGGCAACATTATATATAATTTTTAATGACAAATACTTTGGAAGAGACAGTACAATATCAACCATAAAGACAAACATGAGAAAAAGGCAGAGCACAGAAAGGTTCAGTTCTGAAAAATTTTGTTTAAAACAAAAGGCAATAGAAACAAACAAAATAAACAAAGACAGGCGGGCGCGGGCAGCAGAGGAAGAAAGTACCAGAACGCCAGCACAGGCATTTGCCGCAAAGCAGTCCTTTTCCTTCTTTCCCTCTGAGGAACCAGGCTGCACGAAGTGTGGAAAGAACGAAAAGATAGAGAAGGGTTACTGGACAGTTTCAAAAGCCAGAACTTGGTCACAGTAAGCTCCGGCCCCTCAAGCAGTTTCTAGTTTCGTCCAGCCACCTCCTTGGAGCACTTGGCCCGTCTGGGAGGAGACTCAACTCAGGGCTAGGCAAGGGCCCAGCTCTGCTCATCAGAAATCCACCAGGGCTCTCACTCCTTCTGCTTTCCCCCAATGTGCTGTTACACTGTAGACTCATCAGCAACTTTCAGAGAAAAATCGGGGGGGGGGGGGGGAGAGGGGGAGAGGGGGGGGGAGAGGGAGCGAGGGAGAGAGAGAGAGAGAGAGAGAGAGAGAGAGAGAGAGAGAGAGAGAGAGTTCCAATCTCACCCGGATGACTGGATGACAGAGAAGACTTGTCTGAACTGGGTGTAGCTTTTACAGACATGAGCAGAGTACTGAATACAAAGATGGGCGGCAGGGGTAATCAAATGAAAAAAACATCTGGAATTTCAAAGGTCCATTAATCATTAATTCTTGTAAAGAGCAGAGGGATCCAGCACTTAAAAAGAATAGAGAGACAGCATTCTGGGACTCCAGCACTGACGTACTTCTAGAGATAATGGCAGAACGAGACATGAAAACCTAGAAGCAGTGGACCAAGAGCAGTAACAGCAAGATGGCCACCAACTTCGTAAACAGGACTTTAAAAGTCCAAGGATATGTAGCGACTCCCAGGAGAGGGGCTCAGGAAAACACTCATGGTTTGGGTGGCTAACAGAAGACTCTGAGTATCACCTCCCCCTCCCACAACAGAAATGACAAGGTACAAACTACCCCAAGCCACAGGTGGTTTGGTGGCAGGAATACAGTGATAGTCCCCAAAGAAGCAACTTTGAATATAAAAGTCCCTTAGACATGACAGATATTAAGAAAATGGGATAAAATAATTGAAAAAGAAAAGACTGCCCAAAAGAAACTGTAGAAGCTTCCAGAAGCATGCGGCAGTGGTTGAGCTATGTAAAGACATGAACTGAGACAAATGGTTATAAATGAGGTTATCTGGAGGTCCTCCACTGGAGGTGTGAGGGTGTTTGCAAGACTCATTCTGAGAGAGTGCTTCAGAGTTAGTGTGGACACTGAAAAAAGGTCAATTCGATTTAGTTAACTATGAGTTAAAATGGGTTTGTGGCCCTGACAGTGAGAGAGAGGTGCAGAAACCCATGAACTTCCCTTACAAACCTGACGAAGAAATGAGGAGACACACGGGGTGTCACCAGGGCTACACCTCCCCATCACACCCAGGGTCCAACTACGGTGTCACAGGACTCCAGTTTAGAGGTGCTTCTGCCAAACAGGTGCATGACAGGAGATCACCTGACGCAAGAAGTGCTGTGGTCTTTCTCCCCAGTGACAAACACTCGGCACACACTCCCATCTTCTCAGCCCAAGTAGCTGTCCTTTTATGAGCTTTTAGGGGGACAGAAAGTCTGTGAGGTTGCAGCATCTCTCAATAAACTGTCAAAAATCAAAGGAGCCAATTCAGTGCAAAGTGAGGTTGGGAGGAAAAAAAATGTCCATCCTGGAAACCTCAAAGAACAGGTGACGATGTGGGAATGAATGGTCAAGTTCCCATGCACCAGTGCTGGGGAGACGTGATAACTGGACCTGCAACAGAGACGCCTACCCCGCAGAAGAGCCTAGAAGCTCGTGAGATGATGTATATGGATGGGCACTGAACTCTAGGACAGCTTTTGTTTTGTTTTGGTTCTGGTTTTTTTGTTTGTTTGTTTGTTTTGTTTTCGTACAGAAAAAGAAAAAAGATTTCAACTAAGTATTTTAGAATCACCCAACAATCTCAGCTCATACTACTTTCCTTGAATCAGATTACATACCAGCATTAATACCTTCATCATCCAGCCAAAAAAGGAATATTTGGACTGGGTGCGGTGGCTCATACCCTTAATCCCAGCACCTGGAAGGCAGAGGCAGGCAAATCTCTATGAGTTCAAGGCCAACCTGGTCTACGCAGTGGGTTCCAGGCCAGCTGGGATCAAAGGGAGATCATGTCTCAAAAATCCAAAACAAAACAAAACCCCCAAAGAAATCCCCCAAAACTTGGGGCTAAAGACCCAAACTCCAGTTCCAGGTGACCTGATACCCTCTCCTGGCTGCCATGGGCACTGCACACATAGGTGTATTTACATGTATGCATGCAAAACACTCCTTATTTCTAGAAGCAAGTGGTAGAATGCTGTATATTCTGCTCTGTCTTTATAAACTGTAGGTAGATAATAGTTAAGGTAACATGAATGCAGGCCAAAGTTCCCCTCCCACAAGGCCTATCTTTCTGGCTTTTAGTACCACTTCAAATTCCTGAAAGGTACTCTGGGGCCAGTTCAATCAGCCCTGATTATGCAGTCTGAAATCTACTTTAGACAGCCCTCAAAGCATCCAGTCCAGGCCCACCGGGCAGGAGTCGCTTCAATGCAGATACGGAACCACCTCTCCAGAGAGAAACAAGCGGAGGTCCCTGAAGGAGTATGTGATGCAACAAGACCTAGGTGGACAGACTGGTCACAGCCAACCCTCATCCATCCACAGAGGGGCTCAGGCTGGGTGCCTGGACTCTACTCAGTAACCTAAGAAAGGATGACCCTTAAAAGGCAAAAAGCAGAATTAAATGACCAATGGAAGACTGAGTTCTTCCATTTAAAGAGCATGTCCATACAGAAATGCTGATATTTAATATCAGCTCTTTTGAGAGGTTTTTCTGTTTGCGTGTTTTGTTTTCTGAGTCAGGATCTCACTATGTAGCACTGGCTAGCCTGAAAGTGGCTTTGTAGACCAGGCTGGCCTTGAATTTGCAGAGATCCACCTGCTTCTGTCTCTCAAGTGCTAGAATTAAAGGAGTGTACCACCATACCCTACTCACTTTTTAAAAATTATTTTAATTTTATGAGTATTATGCTTGCATGTATGTAAGTGCACCCATGTCGTACAATGCCCTCAGAGGTCGGAAGAGTGTGGTGGATTCCCCTGGAACCGGAGTTATGAATGGTTGTTAGCTGTCATGTGGGTGTGGGAATTCAAACCCAGATCTTCTGAAAGAGAAGTCACTGATCTTAACTGCTGAGCCATCTCTCCAGCCTCCAGCTCACTCTGACAGTTTGACTGAACCTAAAAAACTGTCAGTCATGACACTTCCATTTCCTGCCCCTTATGGAAAAGTATGGAAAATAAGATTAAACAAACAATCCTTAATTGTCCTATCAACCAGAAGCAAAATCTCCAGCAGTTTCCTTTTGTTTCGTTTGTATGCATGTTTAGAAATTTGCATATCTGTAAATATTTAGATGACAATACATTTCTATATATATTTACAAATGAGGAGTAAGTTTATGTGGGACTTTTTATTTTTATACTTCTTTCTTCAGAAGCATTTATTGAGTCAAATTTTCCCTCCGTCCCTCCCTCCGTCCCTCCCCTTCCTTTTTTCCTTATTTTGTATGTATGAATGTTTTACCTGCATGGCTGTACGTGCACTAGTCAGTACAGTGCCCTCAGAGGCCAGAAGAGGACGTTGGAGTCCTTGGAATTGGAATTACAGACAGTTGTGACCCACCATGTGGGTGCTGGGAATTCAACCTGAGTCCTCTGCAAGCAGCAGCCAGTGCTCTTAAACCCCAAGCCATCTCTCCAGTCCCTAAATTTTAAGGCATGACTCAGGCTAGGGCTAGAGTTCAGTGTAAGAGCATTTGTCTAGCCCATATGAGGCTCTGGGTTCCATTCCCAACATCCTCAGTCAATAAGTAAATAAATGGCTCTCAATTCATCTGGCATAACTTAACTATTTTCAGTTTATATCCTGTTTCTTGTTGCTATAAATGACATTCCAATATTATGTTAGAGTGTATCTAAATCTGACTGCCTGTCAGTATTCTAATTTTCTTGTCAAGTTGGAACCACAAATAAAAACAATATGGATATTTAATTAAATATAGAATTTAAAATTTAAAATCTGGAATTTAATTTCAGGGGATCCAATGCCCTCTTTTAGCCTGAGGCACCAGGCATGCATATGGTATGCATACCTATTAAAAAAACAACAGGGCTAGAGAGATGGCTCAGTGGTTAAGAACACTGGCTGTTCTTGCAGAAGACCTGGGTTTGAATCCCAGCACCCACATGGCAGCTAACAACTGTCCGTATCTCCAGTTCCAGGGGATCTGACAGCCTCTTCTGTCCTCTGCAGGCATTGCATGACACGGGTGCACTTACCTACATGCAGGCAATACACACATACACATAAAATAAAAATAATAAAATATTAAAAAAAACAACCCCCTCCAAACAACAACAACAACAACAAAACCCAAAAAATCTAAATCTGGGGCTGGGGAGATGGTTCAGCAGTTAACCAGAGTTTAGTTCCCAGTACCCATATCCAGCAGCTTACAACAACCTGGAACTCCAGCTCCAGAGGATCTGATGACCTCTTCTGGCCTTCATGCATACCTGCACTTACACACTGATACATACACATTCACATACATAAAAATAAAGTCTTTAAAAAGTAATTTTAATTCTGAACTTCTGAGTCAGTGCCTGCCTGACAATTCTTAAGTAACTGTTCTATGGCACTGATTTGGTTTTGGAACAATGTAGCTGTGCAGTAAAATTTTACAAAAGATTAAATAACAAGGATAAAACAAAACCTATAGCATCGTTTAGAAGCCCAAGTACACAGAACTCAGGGCAGTGATGGTGGGCCTCGCCAAGGATGAACTCAACACTGACAATGAGGAATGTGGGCCAAAAATCTGCAGTGAATGGGCAAGGGAGTAACAAAGAGGTAAGGAGAATCTAGAGTCCGGTTCTGATTACCCTTAGGCTACCTGCTATTTCTTATGAATGATCCGTTTTACCACAAGTGCAAAATCAAGATTGCAAGTATCACCATGGCTGGGCGATGATGCCTGAGTGTGACCAGGTGCCAGCCTTCCACTCCCAAGAATACAGCAAGGGTGTGGGCTAGTCTTCCCTCATCAGGGACTAGTTCTCAGAATATCTTGAGAATTACAGGTCTGCTCATGATAAACCAGAGAATGCTGAATTTTCTTATCAGAGCCTGAGCTTAAAGAAGGATGTGACAATAATAATAATAATAATAATAATAATAATAATAATAGAAAGTGGAAGAAGCAGCAGGTCTTGAAGAGGGCTGAGGTTAGAGAACAGGGAACCAGGTCAAGAGAGGCTCTAGGTCCACCAACACTGGGGCTCTACCATCATGGGGGCTCCACCACCAGTCACTGAGCGAATTCTCCACAACTGTGCTGCATCTCATAGACACATGGAAAGACTTCCTCCAAGCCCTGACAGACAGCTTTAGAAAATTTCACTTTAAAAAGTAGTTCTATCACAATACTCTCAACTTCTCCATATCGGGACAGATACCACACTTCTAGCATAAAGAATTGCCTTTGAATAACCAAGTGACACCAAAGTCTACATTCGAATGATCCAGATTTTCACAGATGATAATAAACAAGTAAAACATCCGATTATCTCTCATCACAGAGACTACCCTCCTATTTTTATGTCAGTCTCCAGAAGTAGGGTCCAAAAGATTAAATTGGAAACCAACATTTGGAACTTTCCAGAAGAACAGGATTCTTTTTCTCACCTTTTAAGACTGCTTTTCCTCGAAGCAGATCTGGTAGTTCGTTTAGTAATGCCTGTACTGCCCGAAAGGTTAGGTTCAGATGTTTTACAGCTCTGAACACTCGACTGAAGAATTACTCTGAAAATAGTTGGAAAAAAGTAAGATTATATTCACTAAAATAACTTTCAAATACTTGATGGAAAAATATTTGACGTTTTTGAACTTCTATGCAGTTTTTTTTTGCAAGCTGATAGAATTTTCCATAACCACATTTTCCATACATACACACACACAAAAAATGAAATGCATTTCTACATCAAGCTCTTTCGAAACGAAGCATCAATCTCATTTCTCTTTGAAGGCTACACAGAGATAACCAGGGTGCTCTGCTTTTGGAAAATGAATGACCTAGCATTATCAGCAAGTCACAAACCACGCAAATCTATCAGTCAAACCTGTCAAAGCAGATTCTTAGATTTCAGTCACAAAAACAAGTCATAAACCCTCAATTTTAAAAAGTTTGAATATAAATTTAGCAAAATAGCTCTACAGCATTCACTCATTCAAGCTGAAAGTAGACATAATTAAGTCAGTAATAGTTTTACACGACATGACAAAATTTTTAAATATGTTCAAGCAAAATTTCCATTTTGTCTGGATTATAACTGTATACTAAAGTAATCTCCAATTATCATAACAATGAAAGTGCAATCACTTCAATGCTGTGAAACTTGTCTTAATTTCTAAAACATGACAGAAGACTCTGAGGAAGAAAATTCATGAATCAAAAAGAACACAAAGGGCTGGAGAGATGGCTCAGTGGTTAAGAACACTGACTTCTTTTCCAGAAGACCTGGGTTCGATTCCCAGCACCCACATGGCTAACAACTACCTGTAACTCAAATGCCCTCTTCTGACCTCCACAGGCAAAAAAAAAGAAAAAAAGAACACAGAATACCCACTTTATAAGCAGACTTCATTATATTGTCAAGAGGAAAAAAAAAGCAGAAAACATCAAAAGATTTGAACAAGTCTTTGCTTTAGGACCATATGCTCCCATTTATTTGTATCAATGTTTGCTTAGCAGAAAGAGGAAACATTGACTTAAAAAAAGCTTTCTCCTCTCAGATTCAAACTCAAGGCAAGAAAGCCAGTAACAACTTGTGAGAACCCAGATCCTGAGAAAAAAGGAACTATCACAACTAAGCAGTCCTGCCTTGTAAGCCTGCGTCACAACCCTGGTGGCTGACAACCCAAACTAGATCTTTCGACTGTAGCACAGGTTCCTAAGTTCCTATGACAGTTATCCACGGTGATGCACATGCACAGTTAGTGAAATCCTAGCTGGGTATTTCATTGCTTGAAGAATCAGTGGGTTCTTCTGAGCAGTGGCTTTGAGCTGTGGAGAAGAGGCAGAGCTGACAGCCCAACACACCCACACAGAGGTTCTGACAGCCCCGCACCTCACAGGCAATCTGGCCCTGGTTAAAGTAGCCCAACTCAGGAAGCTGCCTGCCTGAAAATACTCAGCGCTCTGATAGAAACAGTAGGCACAGTCACGACTGTAGGATTCAAGGTGGAATTGACTGCCCTGAGGTATGAATTCAGCTCCCAAGAACAGGATTTATTGAAAACATATTTTAAAAATGACTTCAAAATTTAATAAGCTTGTAATAAAGATGTGATAGGCATATAATAATGGATATCATATTTATGAGGCATGATGAGACATTTCAGTATGCAGATACAATGTGGAACAATCAGACTGGAATAACTGGCTCAGCCATGACTTCATGCATTATTCCTTAGTGTTGGAAGCCTCCAAATCCCTCTCTCCTTAAAACATTCAGTTAGTTGTCGACGGGCGTGGTGGCACATGCCTTTAGTCCCAGCACTCGGGAGGCAGAGGCAGGCGGATCTCTGTGAGTTCAAGGCCAGCCTGGTCTACATAGTGAGTTCCAGGACAGCTGGGGCTACAGGGAGACCCTGTCTCAAAAAGACCAAAAAACCTTTAATCCCATCACGCAGGAGGCAGAGGCAGGAGGATCTCTGAGATCAAGGCCAGCCTGGTCTACAGAGCAAGTTCCAGGCCAGTTAGGGCTACAGGGAGACCCTGTCTCAAAAAGACCAAAAAAACCCCCCAAAAAACTTTCAGTTAGTTGTCAGCCACAGTTATCCTACACTGGGATACATGGAATATTAAAGTCACTCCTCTTATCCAACTGCTAACCTTTTTTTCTGGTAATACAAAATAAGGAAGAAATATTTATTCATCTCTCTTAAGATCCGAATCTAGAATTTTGCATAAAGTGGGGCTGGAGAGATGACTCAGTGGTTAAAAGCACTGGTTGCTCTTACAGAGGACCAGGTTTGATTCCCAGCACCTACGTGGTGGCAAATACCACGGCTGTTAACTCCAGTTCCAGGGGATCTGATACCCTCTTCTAGCCTCCTTGGGCATTGCATGGCATAAGTGCACTTACATTCAGGCAATATACTCATACATAAAAAATAAAAATAATAAATAAAATAATTTCACATAAAGGAAAGCAAACCAATGCTGACCCTTCTAGGATGCTGGGCAGGGTGAATTCTCAACTCTCTCAGCTGCTTTTTCTTTCCAAGGGAGAAAATGAAACAGTTTTTCTGAAGTATCACACATCTGTTTCAGATCATTTGGGGCCACTGATAGAGATTTACGTCTCTATAAAATTAGTATAAATGAATGTGGAATAATGATATTAAATAGTTACTAATTTGTGTGGAGCTTTGAAACTCAGAGAGAGAGAGGAAAGTTAGTAAAATTCATTAATCTTATCAGGAAAACTTCCAGTTATTTGTTCTGAGGGAAGAGTTAGCAGATCAATACTGTGGGAAAGCCCCAGCAACTACATATAGATATTATCAGCAACAGGCTGAAGGACCCAGATAGGGTGAGGGAAGCTGACCAGAGACTAAAGTGCCTCCCCTGAGGAACCCAGGGACTTACTGCTGCCACCCTCCAGCTTCTTCCCAAGCAATAGCAGAAATGTATTTCTCTTTTCTCCCTCTTCCCTAACAAAATCCTTGGTCCTCTCTCTGTACGGCATGCCCAGACCATAGACCACTGGCTTCTCTGTGGTGTCTCCGCACAAAACTTGGAACTGTCTCAGCAGTCCCAAATTTTGCACAGTGTCAATGTGAGGCACACAGTGAAGTAAAAACCCTGAAGGGCAGGTGTCTCCCATCAAGTCTCAAAATGCCTGGATGACTAAATCCAAGAGAATCCAGCAGGCAGCGACGCAGTGTTTCTAGGGACCACTGCTACAGAACTCTCAGCACGGTGTCCCACAAGACCTTGCACCCCTCTCCAGAAGCACTGCCTGCTCCTGACACAGAACACGAAGCAATATCTGGTCTAAGGCTCCAGGCCACCAGCTTAACCCGGTTCTCCATGGCTGCACCTCCTAGGCGAGGTTCCTCACAGGCCCACAGCGATGAACAAAGCAGTGAGCTGTCCACTCCACAAATTAAGCTTCTTCGGGAGAAAGCCCCAAACTAGACAAACTACACTGAAGGTTCTGCTTTGGTCTTGAAACATGTCAACCTCAGGTACAAGAAGTTATGCACCTATCTTACAGAGGACACTGAGGACAGGCGCCTGGCAGAAACTATGGCCCTGGAGACAAAGTCCCTAAGTATTTAGCAGCAACAACTCCACCCATTCAAAACATCTTTGCTACCTGGAACAGTCAGAGAAGAATAAATTAAACAATGTATCTTTGCTCTCCAATCAATAGGCAAGAGATGGGAAAAAAATATCCAAATAGTCTTATCAAGAAATCTGTCCATGTGAACATGAGACCACAAACTTGTCTTGGGCAAAATATTCAAGGAAATGCATTAAATAAATAAAACCTGTACAACAGGTTTTCTTGAATTTCTAAGAATGGACTCTGATTCAGCTTTAGTCTTTTCCAGCCATATGAAAACACTCAACGGGGCCACAAAGTACCAGAGTTGGTCATGATGGAATCCTACTTTGGAAGAGATCCTAGAAGGAATTTCTGCATTCTTTCAAAATTTCCAAGTCCAAACTGAGACCAAAAAAAAGTCATTTTTGGAATAAGTGAAAGAAAAGTTACAGAGAATAAGACTGCAGAGCCAGATAAGAGAGGGTGCCGGTGTCATGGGACATGTTCTCCCTCTGTGGGATTTAGCTGTGGTGTTCCACATGGAAGCTTCCTGCCAACTTCTCCTGCAGAATAAGTGTCTTCAGTGAGAAGGCTTTCCTTGTTGCCAAGGGTGACAGATCAGAGAATGCAGACTTGTATATTAACCTAAGAAAGATGGTCTGGCTATGTGGAAGAGCAGAAAGCGGAGACCAGAGCCTGAAGTGGAAACACACAAACACAGATGAGATGCAGGGCAACCCTGTACCTAACAAAGGTTTGAAAACTGTATGTTGCATATGTCTACAGAGGAAATGGAGAGGAGATCGTTCTGGATACCACAGAGAGGTGACTGGAGAGAGCTGCTGCATGGGCAAAAATCAGGCCCCAGTTTTCACTAGCCCTCAAGGCTGCAAAACCCAATCTTTGCTTTACTAAGACAATGACCTGGGAGTAGTGCTCTTTTGATTAGACTGGAGAGACACACTGAAAATACAGAACACCAGAAGGCCGTGTGTAGCCCCTGATGGAAAGGAAACCAGCCCAACTATCCCAACTACTTCAACATTTTTTGGAAGGAAAGAGAACTATTCCAATGCCCATATTTATAAATAGCTATTACAAAATATCTGTTAAATATAACCTACTAAACCATGTGCTATTTTTAAATATCCCTGCGATCAAAGGGATAGTGAGGCCCTCCCCCCACCACCATCCTATTTATCGGAAAGATTCAGAAAAAGAACCCTGGAAAACAGGCAAGCCAACAAAGCCAGGAGAGCCAGAAAGAGAAACACATGCACTGCAAGGACCACACTGGACACCAGTAAGCGGAAGGAAAGAAAAGGAACTGGAAACTTACATAGCACACTACGTCAAAGGGTCCGGATGGCTACTGGGTTCTGAAGCCATCGAGACAGAACACCAGGGTGGGAAGAATGTAGTCACACACAATCCACCAGATGACAACACTACACAGTGCAGAGG